TAAGATCTTTATCCTTTCCTTCAAACTTAAGAACATCTATTAAATCATTTTAGTGGCATTTACACACAAATTTTAATTTATAAACTTGTACTCAATTCAATTTTAACTAAGATTTTTTATACTTTCAAGTCTTATTAATTTTTTTAATAATCGAAATTACTTTTCAAATAATAATTGTTCATCATTTATGATTATCTATAAAGGAACATGATGATTTGACATTTATTTTGATTTTTAAACTTTAAAATATCAACTTTCAAATTGAAAAAACTAAAAAAAAAATTATGTGCAAAAAAATATATATATTATTTTTTTGAAAAAATTAAAAAAATTGAACTATTTTTTTGTGCAAAACTGAAAATTTTGTGTCTATAATGTTGTGCTTGGTTAGGAGATTTGATGAGGGATTTGAAAAGAGAAATGAAAAATGTAGGTGAAATAAGAATAAAATATATCTACATTTCATTTAATTTTTCACACCTTACACCTTTTCCCTTTTCTTTTCTAAATCACTTCCCAAATCCCCCAACCAAGAAGCACGATGATGGAACATTGATGTGCAAAATTGGATGGGGGACCTTAAAAAAAACTAATAATGTTCTCAGTTTTAAAATTGAAAAAAAAAACTGATAATAAAACATTACTATGTAAAATTGATAATGTTCTTAATTTTAAAAATTAAAAAAAATTAATAATATTTTCAGTTTTACTAAATAAAACTTATTAGTTCAAAAAATCTTAAATAAGACCTAAACTATCATAATATTATTTTACAAAAAAATTTCATGCCTCCTTTTCCCCCACCCCCTTTGACCCCCTCTCTCTCTTATTGGTTACATTTTCTTTTTCTTTTTTCTTTTTTTCCTGCTCTTTCAATCACCACCCGCTACGTGTCTGTGGGGATTGTAGGGATGATGAATGAAGGTAGTTTCTATCATGGCTCTATTATTTTATGCAAGCTTCCACTTAATTCTCGTCACTTTTTTTTTTTTTTTTTTGTCCCCTTTCCCCCATTTGGTGTCCCAGAAAAACAAAATGTTATTTTCTAACGCATTCGGAGGTGTTCACATTACTCACTGGATGTAAATGTTATTTATGGTAGAATGATAAAACAGTGCGTGATACTTCTATTTTGAAGATGTCTTTTGGAAGCCGAACTTTGGGCTATGTGAGATGGATTAAGATTTGCTCTTGACCTGAATTTTATAAGAATCGAAGTGAAAACAGATACAATCATGATGAAAAATTTTATTCTTGGTAATTCTAACCATTGTCATCAACTTAAGGGTTGTTTGGGGTGTCCTAAATAAGTGTACTTTTTGTCTTTTTGAACTAAAAAATTGAGAAAAAAAAATATGGATGTTTGGGTTAACTTTTTGACTTTTTATGAAAAAATGTGTATTAAAAAATTGTATAAATTAGTGTGTAGAGAAAAATTAGGATTGGGAGTTGTGCAACCGTAATTTTTGACTTTTGGTGAATAGTGATAACTTTTTGAGTAACTTTTTAACTTTTTTGCTTTTTTCAAAGTTGCCAAACTTGGCCTTAGTAATCTCATTCATGACTGTAGGTACCTCTTGGACCAGTTCAGAACCTCAATTATTAGTCATACCTACCGCGAGGGAAACAAATACGTAGACTTGCTTGCCAACGAATGATTCAATCATGAGGGTCTACTTATTTTCTCTTCTATTCCTAATTAAAAAATCTAGAAATTCCCTAGATATTTATTTGTGATTATGTATCAATTTTAATCAGTAAATAACAATCTCAATCAAACAATCAAGACAAATCGACACAACGATTTTAACGTGAAAAAACCACAATTAGAGCGCCTCCAATTGTGATAAAAAAAAATCACAGACAAAAGTCACAAAACAATCCACTAAGAAGACAAAAGAAATTACATAAGTATACTTTCAATTATCTAGTGAATCCACGTCCGAACTGAACCGACCCATATCTGCCTTTTTCACCACAGTTTTCACCTCAGAATTGTCTTGCCCAACGTTGAATCCACAACAGAGATATCGAATCCACGACGATGAACCACTCCGGAATCCATCAATGCTTCAGGCTCAAGTTCCACGAAATCCACCGAAGAACGACTCTCTCTTTTGTATTAAACAAAATAAACAAACCCTTTGGTATAATCCACTCAATTCATGATTAAGCTCTCACAAATATTAAAGGAAACAAGCAAAGAAGTCCCAGATGAAAACCCTAATACCCAAGAAGAAGATCTGGAAGCTGTATCCTAAAATCAGATTGAAATACATATTTATAGAAAACAGATCCGTGATCTCCGCTTGAGCAGAAAAAAACAACTCCCAGTACTTTTGTAGGCGAGTGAAACTTTTGAAAGGTCGCAATCTTCACTCAAACGCATAAATGCCCGCTCGAGTGGACAAACAACTTTGACTGCAATTTTGCTTTTTGCTTTGGAGGCGCTGCTCCTCTATCCCGCCTAGGCGCTACCCCGGACCCGCTAAGGGGTGTTGCCCCCTGGACCCCCGCGAGCTGACCGGGCAGCTTGATCCCTAACATAGTCAGCGAAGTGGCAAACATAAAAGAATTAACTCCTGAAACTTTTCTGCAAGGCACAATTCGGGTTAGATTCGCATCGAAAAACTCATAACTTCACTGAAATAAAAGTTTGAATTCAATTACAACTGAAAAAGGGTTTTGTCAAACGGGATTGTCAAGAATAAAAGCCTAACACTAACTATATTTCGTTTCAAGTATTTGAAAGTGCTAAGGGTACTTTTTACCTTAGAAATGTAACCGCTTAACTCTTTACTAATCTAATTTCGATCTTCATTATTAAAAAAAAAAAAAAAAGGATGTCTTTTGGATATCGAATATATGGGACAAAATAAACTAAATTGACATAATATTGAAGAGCATAATTGATACAATGAGAATTATAACGATCAAATTGAAACAAGACACAAATCACAAGAATTATAGGTGTAATTTTGACATATCAAAATTTATGAAAAGGAATGGTAAGTTTAACCAAAAATTAAATATTAAAGTTGGAAGGACATTTTGGCAGAGGCACGATGGTTTTCTTCCCTTCCTTAATAGTAAAGAAGACCATCCTTAATGTATTCATCACTTCACAATAGATTACACCCCACCCACCCCCCAAAAAAAAAAAAAAATTACTTGTTCAATCTGATTAACTGAATAATTAACTCCATTAATTTTTTTTTTAAAAAAGACTGATTATCTAAATCTTAATCCACAAAGTAATCCAGTGGTAAAAGAATTTGCCCAATAAAAATTACATGATAAATGTCACGAATGAGACCGTGCAAAAGACAAATGATTATTATTCAATTAATGAGATAATAATTTGTTTACGTGATATTCTCAATCAACAAGACCGTGTAGAAGGTAATGGATGACACCGACCACATCATTAACCCAATCCACCAAAATGATTTAAATCGGCCTTACTTTTTTGTTTTTTTTTGTTTTTTTGTTTTTTGTTTTTTCGTTTTAAACCAATCTTAATAGTCCAAAAACACCTATTCTGAGTGTGTGCTATCCTATGATCACTGGTTCAATCATTCACTTTGAATTCAAATTGCAGGACAATTTAAAATTTTAAAAAGTTGGTAAATTTGTAGATCTATAGCATTTTTTACTTGATAAAAATGCTTTAAGACTTTCTGTTGCTAGGTTAAAGTTTATTAAGGTGTGTGGGACCATGTATATAGCCTTGTGTAGCATGTTAAAAAGTTAAAGATTGCCTAAATGAAATTTATTTTCAACCAATGGTTTCAATTAGGGATGATGGCAACAGAGACAAATAAATCACAAATTATATTGAGAGCGGGTCAAATTTGGAAGGTAATGGGTAGAAGTTGATTAATTTTGTAATCTCAAGTGAGAGATGAGAGATGGACAGAGACAAATCACAAATTATATAAAGAGCGAGTCAAATTAACGAGTAGGAATTGATTAATTTTACAATCTTAAATAAGAGATGATATGATATATTGCAAATAGTGGTTGATAAAAAATGAGACAATACCAGCTAAACCCAGCTACTGTGACCTTGGGTCTCCATGAGTTTTTATGGTTGGAGTGGATGGATAAACTTCAACAACATATAAATGAAAGAGGTGGGTGTATATAAATAGATAAATAAATATATATGGAGTGCAATTGAATTGACACTGAAAGAGCTGGCATAGCTAATAGGTCTTGCGTCCAACCACGTTAATTTGTGTGCCTTGTCTTCTCTATTGGGTGCACATTTTTTGTGCATATGATCATATTATTGTCCAATATATTTCATTATCATTTTTTGTTTATGGCATGGTGGCATTAATTAATCAGCAAACATTGCAACCAATCATAAAAAATTTACATGGCAAAACAATAAAACTCAAATTAAAATATCGAGAATCCCAACCCATTGATCACTAAACTAGCCTTTAGTTTAAAAGGCGAAGAGGATACGGAGAGAAATTAAAAATGATCAATGAATTTGGCTTGGAAGGATAGATAATGTTTAAAGTAAGAACTTATCTCCCAAAATATATATATATATATATATTCATTACGTCATTAGTATTTTTAGCTGGAGCGAAATTTCTTCCTCTGTCATTTTTTATAGATGAAAAAAGAAAAAAAAAAAACCTATTAAAAAACACTATTGTAATTTATTCATTTATCTTTCTTGTGCTAGAATTACTAAATTCTCAAATGATTGTAACGACAATTGTTAAAAGGATCACATTGAAATGTAAGGGTTACAAGCATTGTTCGTGAAGTTTAAATCCAACACAAAAACCAGTATTTGCCATAGACTAGCAAAGGCTGCCAAGTATTAGTATAAAAAGACCAACACCCCTCAATTTTGTACTACCTAGCTTGATTCTCTACCAAGGGCAAAATAAAAATTTTAAGGAAAAACTAAGAGGGACCAATTGTGTAATTTACTCAAACAAAAACATAATTTTTTTTAAAAAATAAAATAGGAATAACTAAAGAAGAAACACCATGTAGACAAATTTTATTGCACAAGTAAATTCCAACTAGTTACATTGACAAAGATTACAATCCAATGATTGGATTCAAAGAAGAAAAAAGGAAAAAAAAAAACAGCAGAGCATAGAACCAAAGCCTAGAAGGAAGGAAACTCAAGATTGGAAGCACATTTGCCTCTAGGTAGCACAGGACATTCTATGAAGTTTGATCCAGAAGTGTCAACACAAATGTAAACCTGGTACAGCTGGCTATTCCCAGATGAATCAACATTGCATTCTATAAAAGGAGTGTACCCAATTGCATTTTTTATGGCTCCTTTAATGCTGCTTAAGCTGTATGATCCTCCATCTGGGTTGATTCCTGTTAACCAACGTCGATGCCATTGTCCAAAATTAGTTTCCTAGGAAACAAACACTAGAAAGAGAATGCTAACATGAGCTCGAAACTGCTACAAATGCTCCAATTATTTTGGCGTCAAACCCTTTTTTTTTTTAAGAAAACATATTCTTAATTTTTATTTATATATTATTATTAATGTTTCGTTAATTTTTTTTTGATTACATCGGAAAGATTAATGTTTTGTTATGATCCTAAAACTAATGTACTAGTTATTGTGATAATAGTAGCGTTGTTGTTGTTGGTGGTAAGATTTTATACCCAAGTTTTTCATAAGTTAAAAATATTTTTTGTTCAACTAAACTCATTCTTCGTTGATTACATAAAAAATTTAACTTGAGAATTTTTTATTTTTTTTTTTATGAAAACCATACGTCTCTCTAATTCTTTTAAGAACTGGACCATTGAGAGCAGGCCTGTACCCATGGGCCCATCATGGATTGTACTTCAATGATCTAGTGTGTTGATTTTTGGGAAACTTACTGATAAGTCCCATGTACTAAGTTCAAAATCCAGCTAATCCCAAAACAAAATACTTGCATCAATTAGTCTAATACATTTTTAATTGTTACCAAAAAATCCTTTTTTTTTTTTTAATTTACAGACACTGTTTACATCTTACTACCGTCGGACTTCCGTCAAACGGTCATCGGAGACTCGTCGGAATGTTTAACATCGCCGGAGACTCGTCAGAATGTTTAAAACATGTTATGAAACTGTAAAATTTTACAGTTCTAAAAAATGTTATAAAACTGCAAAATTTTACAGTTTTAAACCATGATTCATTCCAGCACCAAAAAAAAAATTTGAAACTGCAAAATTTTACAGTTTTCACCGCCTGTAATTAAAACTCGAAAATTACTTGTTCAAAATTTGAAAATTTTCTCATTACAAATCTGTGTGATATCTGTACAAATCTGAGTCATTACAGATCTGTTTCAATGATATTATAGATCTATTTCATCATCAACAATATCAATCATAGATCAACAACTATCCCAAAAAAAATCTGTAAATAGAGAGAGAAAGAGAGAGAAATTGACAAAGATATATACACAAATCTGTTCAATCTAAGCACAAATCTGAGGATGAGCGTCTTCTTGTTCTTGTTCTTCATCGCCTTCTTGTTTGACTTTAGGACTGAGATTAGGATTAGAGGAGGAGGCGTAAAGAGGGAAGCAAAAAGCAGAGAGAGAGGGGAAAGGACTTTTGGGTGTACTCAAAAAGTTATGGGATTAAATAGTGTTCATATGTTCCACATGGGACCTATGGGTAATTTTCCCTTGATTTTTTATGTCTTTATACGTAGATTATCCATAACAAAATAAATAATAAAAAAAATTCAAATTGTCACACAATTTTATCACATTTCTCTTGAAAAAAAAAAGAAGAGATGATTAATCATTTACCATAATGTAATGAAATTATGCAAGTTACAATTGTCCCATTTTTTATTTTTTTGTGAATAGAGCATAAAATATCAATGAATTGAATTATCAAAGTGAAAATCGTGGCAGAGCCATGTGTCCAGGCTAGACGGATTATTCCACAATCATTTTGTTTTAATCATACTAAACATCAAAAAATGCAAAATAATATTTTTTGTCAAAATAAAGAAGGTAAAAATGATAAAATATACCTGCAGACTGAAGAATTTGGAGAAGGTCTATATTGGATTTGAGGTTGAGTGCCGATTTGAAGTAGGAGTGTTGGTCAAGAACGGACTCGGAACATGTTCCATGTTTGTCCCATTCATGTGACCAAAAGGTTGACCCATCGCCACTTGGGCACGCCAACGTCGGCCAACTGTCTTGCATTCTGCTGATCAAATCCGATATCTATAAACCCACCCCCCATGTTATAAAAACACAACAATTATTAGGTTTCCAAGGAAAATTGTCTATTTTTTCTAATTAGATCATTGGTCCCTATAGTTAGTGAAATTTTGTTTTAGTTCTCGTAGTTTTAATTTGAATTCTACCCTTTCAGTTGTGTTGCAAATGTGCCCTCCATTACTTACTATTTAAATTTGCAAAATTAGAGGATCAATGTAAAATTTAAAATGAACTACAAAAATACTCGGTTTAGTTTATTCATTACATTAGTGTTTCTTGTAATTTCTTTTGTATTTTATTTTGATCTATAATCTATATTTTTCACTCATTAGAATCAACCTACATGAGTGAAAAATATAATTTTTTTTTTTATATTAAATTATTGATCCAAACACAGTGTAAGAGCATAAAGTATAGGATAGGTACCGCGGATTGATCATAAGGGCTATTAGGATCGCAATTGGAAGGGTAAGAGCCGTCATTGTAATTGGGCCAAAGTCCATGAATTCCGAAATCTGCTGCTGGCTTCCCTGTTGTCGGATAGCAACAACTTTGCTTCCTGTCACAGTATGATCCTGGCCACTGCATAATAGTACAACAACAACAACAAGAAGAAGCTTCAAGTTTAGACTACTCTGTAAAAATGAATATGATTATTAGTAACACACACTCTCTCTCTCTCTCTCTCTCTCTCACCCACCTGTTGAACAAAGTAGAAGAAATCAAAGTCTTGAGCAAAGCACACAACTGATAGGCATTGTAGTACAATCAAGAGCTTGACAATTGTTGAACTCTTCAATTCCATCTCTCTTTCTCTTTCTCTTTCTCTGTGAATTAATTTCAATGGAGTGATTGTGATATTGTGGTGATGGTGTTGATAGATGTTTTTTATATAGGGGGGAAATTGATGAATGTGGACAGAGAGAGTATCCGTTACTATTAATGCTTGTATGTATATTCAGACAAATAATAATCCAATTATGTTTTCATTGCGTGTGTGAAACTGAAGCCGGTGATTGATACATGTCAGCCTTGTTTCTATTCTGTGCCCTAATTATTGTTTGTTTCACATCAAAGACGACGAACACGTACGTACTTGTTATTCGGATATTCTCGTCACGCTACCTACTGCCGACGCCGTTCATCATCTTCCTTTCTATCTTTCCATAATCAATAATTTCCGTCACACCCTAATTCTCATTGGCTGGGTTTGCCTCCACTCCACCATCTGGATTGGATGGCCCAGTTCAGTCTAATGAGTTTACTTTTGAGTTTTTTTTTTTTTTTTTTTTTTTTTTTTTTTTTTTTGGATAATTTAAACCGTTCATATTTTAAGATTTATTGAATATATTATCCTTGTAAAAAATTACGTTGATTGAATAACAGATATTATGTATTCGGATTATTTTTTTATGAACCATTAATTTTTTAATAATTCATTTTTTTTCAGACAAAAGTGTTCCGAATACATAGTATCCGTTATTCAATCGACGTAATTTTTTACAAAAATAATATACTCAACAAATCTTAAAATACGAATAGTTCTAATTATTGGAAAGGATCTAAAAATGAATTCAATGAACCAAACTGGACAGAACTGTCTCGAATTTGAACCGGAGACAGCTCAGACCCACTCTCATTAATGGAGAGCATTTCAATTGATCCCATTTATGTTATATATTGGATTTTTACTTTTTTTCATCATTTCTTTTAAACAATAAGAATGAATGATGGGTACACATAAACACAACCCATAAAATGCACGTAAAGTGTATACATATATATATTGTGTGGCCGAAATTTCTTTCAAGTATGACACATTATATTTCAGATGAATTCCAACTATATTGGCATAGGGGTCTTTTGGAAAGCCAAAAAAAGCTAATTTTTAGTTTTTTATTCATTTTGGGTTACATCACTTCTTATATTTTTTACTCACAAAAGATAAAATAGATTAAAAAAGTCAAAAAATCAATTTTTTTACCAATTTTCCAAAATACTGCATAATAGATTCTCCAAGTTCTGTTTATGAGCATTTAACATTTTTTTTAAATTTTATTTTAATGGGATTATGCGTTTTGTGTTATTTTAGGGATCAATTATTCCCAATTAAAAATCTCTAGTATGGATCATGTAGATCTGTCACATGACTCATTTCAATAATTTGACTAGTGTAAAAATTAAAATATTTGGCTGAATAATTATGTAACACATTTGTAGTGTAAGGTCTTAATTTCAACACTTATGATGAGAAAATTTTGATGTCCTTTATGATAATTTATTTTTCTCTCATTGTGAAATTATATGTAATTAATAGTTGTGGTTGAGCTAGGCAATGAAAATGGTAAACTAAGCAATGAACCCTTCGTCAATGTCTTGCGTCACATGTCACTTTGAATGGTCCACTACATCATTAGGCTTACATCAACTTCGCATTTATTTGTTTATATATTCAATTGTCATGTCAAAAATTTAATTCTAACGTCATAAGAGGTTTAGCCATTTTTAAATCAATACAAAGAAATAATTATAAAATTTTATTATGGCATCTCAATATAAACAAATATTAGTGTTAATAGATACCAATGTCGGATGAGGACCAACCAGATCAAGGCTATAACAGGATTAACAAGTGTAGCAAAAATAGAATCATAAATTCATTATATCAATGATGATTGAATTCCCAATTTACTAGGAATGGTCCTATCTGTACGCCATCAATGACATTAACATAAATACTACTGAAAACATTATAATCAAAATTTTCATATATACCAAAAAATTTCCACTTCATTAACAAGTTCCTCAAACAATACAAGATTATAGTCGCAAGGTGACACATCATTCATTTTGATCTAATTTCATTGTGATCAAACAAGTCACTATTCATGCCAACCAAGAAGCCACTTCAGTAGTCCAGCCAAATTTGTTCCTTCAATTTAAATTCATCATATTTTTGTGTGAAGCCCAAGAACAAAAAAAGAGTAATATATCATACATTACATAGACACCCCCACTTGCTATTCCTCATCCAAACCCTTATAGCTCCAACATATTACTATAAAATAGACAAACTCCTTTATATTCCTCTTTTACTACTCATCACTATTGTTTCTTTTTTGGTTTTTGTTTTGTTTTGTTTTGTTTTTTTTTTTTTGATTTTGTTTTTCTGAGGATACTGTTGTTTCTTTTGTATGTGTATATGTTTTTCTCTATGGCAATATGTTGATTGTCTTTTAAAGATTGGTCTCTTCTAATACATTCAACAGAGAGAGTGTCTGCAACGTTTAAACATAAACATAGGTTTAGAATTGGATTCAGCAAATACCAAAACACTAAATCTTCTCACATACAAAATTTAAACTGGTCTAAACTGTTATTACCTCTTAAATGTTGAGTTCAAGGTGAAACTTAGGGCCATCGTAACGATGAAGAATTGGTCGCACATGGCAATATGTTGATTGTCTTTTAAGCATCGATCTCTTCAAATACATTCAACAGAGAAGAGTGCCTGCAACATTTAAACATAAACATAGGTTTAGCAACTTTACAACTTCATTCGTCAATTAGGTGCATAAATATATATAGGAGAATTTTTTTGTTATTTATAAAGCGAAAATGTTAGTGTGTGTGCTGATTTCCGACCACACTGCCAAACAGGAACTCAGCAGGATAGCACAGGCAGAATAGATCACGCCCGAACAACCTGTCACAGAAAGATAGGACTCTGGCGGTGGTTCGTCCACCCAGGGGCACTTCGACGATCAAGTCAGTACTCAGTTATCTCTCAAGGATAGCAAATAGTTCTTAACTCACTGGCCAGAATACAAAAAGCGTACCTTAGACCCACGAGGGTGCCTTACTTTTATAGTCAGCATCAACTTTATCCCTGTAGAAGCCTAGCTTCAATGAACTCTGGCTCAATGCTCATCTTGGACTCCCAGCCAGATAGAGATAAACTCCCTAAGAGCTTTATCTTTATCCATACTGAGGTCCTCCTCCATTCCAGGACTCTTGTCCCTTATCCGCTCATCTCGGATTTCAGAATCTCCAAAGATAACCTCGGCCTAGCCAAGATCATCTCTCACATGACCAAACCATGTGGCACTCTGGCTGACACCATTTAGGGTATTAGACATGCTTGTTTGTGACTCTATGTTTATTCAATTTGTTTCTGTGTCTATATAAACACATACATATTGTTCATATACGTTATGTTTAACGGTTTGCCACTGTTCTTGACTTTTGCACATCTGCACACACTTACTCAATGTTCTTGATAAATGTTACTTTCTTGACTCTGAACCATGTTTTTTTTTTCCTATTTTTCTTTGACTTGTTTCCAGATTCTTGCCATTGATTCGTGTTTCCATATAGATTTAGGCTTGGGTTTTGATAGAGAAATCACATACTTAGAAAAAACTAAACCAAAACCTCCCTTAGATCCGAAAAAACCCTAGAAGTGGCCAGTTTACGGTTTAGCCGAGGCATTCAAACCTATTCCACTTATTATTTCCCAAATCTTGTCCCAACTGTTACTAATCCAACGTCATGGGGATGTTCAGGTGGAGGATAGACACCCCAGAAAAACTTGAGTACTTTATGAGAGAGTTCTCCATCCCAGCCGACGTCCATTTAAGGTTAGCTTAGGATGAGGACTCCATCATGCCTAACGGAGACTCCATGCCTTTTCTCGTTGTTGCATTCATCGAATGTGGACTTCAGTTTCCCCTTGATACTCTTTTTCAAGAAATCCTCCATTACTACAAATTTAACCCCATGCAACTTACCATAAACTCCTATAGGGTCATAAATAGCATAATTGAACCAGCACACCGAGAAAAAGCTAGGATTACCTTAGTCGACATACAATTCTGTTACACCATGTGTGACCTTAAATCTCAAAAAGGCTACATATACTACCTCAAGCCCAGATTCGTCGCCTTCAAACTAATAGCCGACCTCCCAAACTCCAACAAGGGTGCTGGAGATGATTACTTTGTCGTCTTGGGCAATTAAGAGTTTTCACCTGATGATGATCTCCACCTTTATCCTCTTAGCTGAACAGTTTTTAAAGAGGGTAATGGTAAGACTTAGTTACTCATACTAAAATTTCATTTTTGTTAAGGCTTGCTAGTTTACTCATCTCTTCTAATGTTTGCTCTTCTGTTTTCTGCAGTTCTTCCTCAACCGGTGAAGGGATTTCGGCAATTATTCGTTCCCAACCAAGATCTAAAGAGGTTGTTAGATCTTCTTGTGTAAAAGCGCAAAACGCCTCTTCTACTAAACTACATACCAATCTACAAGTCGACCTTGCCCGACGTCCCTCGCCGAAGTAAGACTCCCCTTTTTGCCACAACTCCACCAACAACTTTATCCCCAAGGCCAGACCAAGCCTCTACTTTTGACATAGCTGATCAACCATCTACCTCAGCCTCCTAACTAATTCCTCTATCCCAGCGCCAACACCGACGCCGAGTTCTAATTTCTACTCCTGCCGGTAGAACCCACAGCCGCAAACGCCAACCTTCTGAGGCATCGGCTTACGACCCAGCCAATCCTCCAACCGTCCTTCCAGCAATACACTTCGGCACCAAAGTAACAATTACTTCCCCTACTAACGAAATGGGCTAAAAACCAGTAATTGTTAAAGACCTTCTTTGCAATATCCCCAGGGTTATGACGGTGCAATCCTCGTCTTCTCCATCCCAACCAAAGCCAAAACCGAAAAGAATGAAGAAGGCCAAGGCTAAGGCCACAGTGACTCAGATTGATTCTGAGGACACTGTACCAATCTCCAAATTGGCCGAGGTAGAGAAAAGTCAAACAGCTGTTGAGAAAAGGCCAGCCGAGGTTGATACATCCAACTCCCAACCATCCAAAAAGCCAAGGTTTGAGCAACCTGAGGGTAGCCACAACTTCCCTAGCAATATGACCTGGGCTCCCGAGGTTATGGTAGATGACAAACCCTTGACAGTTGGCGACAGGGCAATGAATCTCAAAGTCGGTGCAGCCTTGTTAACGGTTGTTCTTCTGCCAGAAGATATGAACCGCATGGCCAAACTACATGAGTATGAAAACTTTGCCCTTATGATGTAGCACTCGGCCTTGGTAAGTCTCTTTCATACTCTTTTGTAATCTTTATATACTTAGTCAAATTTCACTAATCTATTTTACTTCTTGTAGGCCATCTAGCATGTTCACTCATACGCTGTCAAGATCGAGATGACAAGGAAGGAGTTGGCAAGAAGACCAAGGAAGCTGCCAAACTTCTATCCTCTCTTAATCACACCGAGGCCAACAATCAAGCTTTGTTGGATCAGGCTAAGGCTTCCAAAGCTGCTCAAGATTTGGCTGAGAAAAAATCCAAAATGGCCAATGACAAAGCCGAGGCCACCAGAGCCGACCTTGAAACTGCCAAGGCCAAGGTAGCTGACTTAGAGGCCAAGCTTCAAGAGGCCCTTGCCTCTAAGGAGGCCGAGGTAAAAGTGGCCGATGAAAAAGCTTTTGAAGAGGGCCAAGCTGCCGTTTGCGACCAATACAAACAGCAAGTCAACCTGGCTTGTAACCGAGGTTATTACCTTGGTTGGACAGTGGCACTCAATAAGTTATCTATGCCAATGGACTCCGACCTCAGAGACATTAATCAGTTTCAAATGCCTTTCCCTCCAGAGTCCAAGGACTCTGGCGATGAAGCCAACGAAGATAATGCCGAGGATGGTGAAGTTGATGAAGTAGATGAGGAGGCTGGCACTGATGCCATGTCTTCCACCCTCAATGAGCAAATAGACTTGACTTAAGATGAGGAGGATGACTTGGTCTCCAAGGGCGTCTCTCCCAAACCAACCATATCTGAAGCCGAAATCTAGTGCACCGAAAGGAGTTTGGACCAGACTCTACTCGAAATAGATGCCGAAGTAGGGCAGAGAAATATGCAATGCTGCCAACCGAGGCCGACAAAACTCCATCAGCTGAGGTTGAGAAATCACAAACCAATCCTAGTACGTAGGATATTTCATCTTTTCTTTGTACTCTTTCTTCTTTCTGTGGTATTTTGTTTTGTCTGAACAATGTTTAGCTTCATATTTGGCCAATGTACCCCTTTTGTAATTGAACAAGTAATCCTTTTTGAATGCAAGTCTTCTCCTTTCTTCTAAGTGTTGAATGTTTGTAGGCTTTACTGCTTTCTTTCATGCCTTTCACGCTTCTTATACTTAGAATATTTTTGCATTTTTTCAAAGTATACCTTTAACTATATAATAACTTTGGGGTATAATACTTCGGATACAAACCTTGACTACTTGCCTTAGCCAACCATTGGCTCACCTCGGTGAACACTCAAAATATAAAAAATATTTTTGCAAGTGTTTATTCAGTATTTCTTTTTACTTTCACATGCTATCTTCTATCAAGACTTCTTCCTTTTACCCTTTCCAAGCCTAGCAACCTGGTTGGCTATCTCGGCAATTATGTATCTCGAATACTTTTTCCAATATAACCTCGGTTAACTTCAACTTGTAAATTTTTCTGAAATTTCAACAAATGTTAAGCCCATTCTGACTTGTAAATTTTGTATATAAAATTTCAACAATTTCAACAAGTCCCAAGCACTTCAAATTTTTAAGCTTATCATTCTCCAGCTCTCTACCCCCTAATGTGAACCTAAGATTGGCCGAGGTTCTCAACCTTGGTTTCTCTGTTAATCTAACTAAAATGCACTTAGTTCCATTCTAAGTTTAATGGCAAGTCTAGTTTCAATTCAACTTAATTCAACTCTATTATATGCAAGTATAATTCAACTCTGCCATGTAATAAGTCTAAGTTATTCATCATGTTTCAATCAGAAGCATCGCTAACTTAGTTCAACTCTATTATATGCAAGTATAATTCAACTCTACTATATAATAAGTCTAAGTTATTCATCATGTTTCAATCAGAAACATTGCCAACTTAGTTCAATTCTATTATATGCAAGTATAATTCAACTCTGCCATATAATAAGTCTAAGTTATTCGTCGTGTTTCAATCAGAAACATTGCCAACTTAGTTCAACTCTATTATATGCAAGTATAATTCAACTCTGCCATATAATAAGTCTAAGTTATTTGTCATGTTTCAATCAGAAACATCGCCAACTTAGTTCAACTCTATTATATGCAAGTATAATTCAAATTTGTCATATAATAAGTCTAATTTATTTGTCATGTTTCAATCAGAAACATCGCCAAAGGACTGGTCAGTCCTATTACACAAATTTCAAAATCTAGCTAAAAATTTATTATTACTTCGGCTAACGACATAAATTTCGAAAAACAAAAATCTAATGATAGAAAAACTTCAAGTTACAAGTGTTCCATGGTCTTGGTAACTCTTTGCTATCACTGTCTTCAAGCTGATATGCCTCATTGCCGGCGACCAAGATAATCTATAAGGCCCCTCTTAATTTGGGCCAAGTTTTCCTTCTTTGGGATCTTTTTTGTTGCCGACGACCTTCTTCAACTCGAGGTCTCC